TTTTTTTTTTTTTTCTTGTCCGTTAACAAGGGCATTTGAATTTGCCAATGTACTACTCTTATGCCATTTCCTATGCTTCAAGTAGACTCTATAATCTCCTTTTTCTTTTTTTAAGTTTTCTTTTTTTTTTAGTAGCCCCCTAGATGCTGGAGTACTATTATTAGTAAATGTACTCATTTTGACCCTAAAAAGGACTAAAGCAAAAAAAAAAGTAAGAGAAGTTTAGCTTTAGTTCTCTTCAGTTTAGTTCTCTTTTAACATATAATGTCTTCAGGGCTTTAACCATTTGTTAGGACTGCTCATCAAGTGATAATGAAATCTGGCAGCACAGTATAGACAGGGTTCATTATTTGAAACAAATCTTCCCCTAACCCCCCAGACAGTGAGAACTATTTTTCGGTCCTGGAGTTAACACAACGAACATCTAAAAGTTAGTAAGTTGTATTTTTTAAGTTCTGTGATGTAAATGAGAACATGTAACAAATATTAAGTTGGTATTAATCCAATTTGGCTGCAAAAGTGGAAATACACATTAACCACTTGCTGACCGGGGTGTTTACACCCCCTTCCTGTCCAGGCCATTTTCCAGTGTTCAGCGCTGGGGTACTTTGACTGATATTTATTCCGTCATGCAATGCTGTACTGAAATAATTTTATACCATTTTTTTGGGGACAGATAGAGCTTTCTTTTGGTGGTATTTAATCACCACTGGGGTTTTTATTTTTTACTATATAATGAAAAAAGTACAGAAAAATGTTTTGCCTACGTTATGTTATAAAACCGTTATTATTACCCAAATGTTTGGCAACATATAAAAGACGGGGTCACGTCGGGTAAATAGACACCAAACATGTTAAGCTTTAAAATTGCGTTCGTCCGCGAGCTCGCAAAAACTACCATACCCAAAATTGGCCATAGGCGATGCTTTAAAAGCTTTTACAGCTCATGAGTTTAGTGTTATTAGTGATTGATGGCCCTAAAATTATTGCTCTCACTGCGACGTTCGCATCGATACGTAACATGTGCGGCGTAATGGATACAATCGTCTTTTACGCACTTAGGCGCACTCGACGCATGTTTGCATGTTTATGTGGGGGGCGGGGGACTTAAAAACATTTTTTCCATTTTTTTTTTTTTTTACCTTTTTATATGTGACTTTTTAATATTATACTAACGGCCGCAGAGCTGCTGTGCCGATCCCGGCTCACACCGGGCACAGCGGAGCTCGGGATCGGCAGCACCCGCGGAGGGGGGGGCGCACACCCGCACGCATATTACAAGCGATCGGGTGTCTCTACAGAACGCTTGTAGGTAAACAGCCATCGCTGGCTGTTTACAGTGCAGGCTGAATTCCCTCTTGTGCCCGCCCCAAATCCAATGGCGTCACAAAGGGGGTGCGGGCCGCACCCGGGTGACACCATTGGAGGGGTGACACCAAAATGACTGTCATTTTGGTGTCCCCCCCCCCTCTGAAAAAGTCGGGCACTCGGTTATGGACCGAGAGCACGACAGTTGCAGGAGAGAGAGGAGGGGACCCAGCAGCATTCCTTATCCCGCCAGGTGAACGCCCCCCTCCTCTCTTTGCCGGCATCCATCACCGAGATGGCCGCTGTCAGATATCCCACAGATGGCCGCACATGCGTGATGACGTCACGTCGGGGTGTCGCCCGGTGTCCGCTCCGGATGACACCCGGCCTCGAGACGCCCTTGGGTAAATCATCTATTACGGATAGCTGTCGAGGAGGAGCCACTTTGGATAGATGTCTTCTCACTTCCTGTTGACTCTTTGGTACCAGAAGCAAATGGAAATATTCTAACTAGACACAGAACAAAATATAGCTGACCATAGTTTTAATCCTTCAATCCATCCAAACTTAATATAAACCTTTTGGCAATGGATGTACTTTTTAAAGGACTAGATTAGGGTTAATGTTGTTGGCAGTATCATCATTGGAGTTGGAGTAGTATGTCGGAATATAGACAGGCTTCTGCCCCCCTGATGGACATATATTCCAGCACAAATAAACCTACATCATAGGAAGTGCTTTAGAGATGTCAGGTTAGCCTGAGGTTCTCAACATGTTGTCTCTGGACCACTGAGAATCCACAATAGCTCTGGACATCTCATAACATGCCTAGCTGAGCACTCGTCAAAAGTGTTTGAGAATACAAAATATTTCACAAGGAGTTTCTAAAACATGTTTCAAAGAGTATTTTGTTGGGATTCTCAAAGAAAAATGACAGTATTTTGTTGACAATATTATTTGTAGCTTACTGGTCTAGTGAACATAAATCATAAAAAAAAAAACATTTAACATTTTATTGGATAATATGTAATATTTTCCGAAGTTTATAAGAATAGAAGATATCTAAAGAGCCAACTGTACCTAAAACTAACTCCTGATAAAAGTAAGGTGCAGTCTTCCTATATTGATCACATTGGCTTCATGCACACTGGCACTCCTGCGTTTAGCTTGTCTAAGTGCAGGAGAAGGTGTATACACAACATTTATGCTTTCCAGATCACTTGTTCCTGCTTAAAGAAGAACTCTGGGTAGAATTTTTATTAACACTTGCAGTGGGGCTACCCCCCGCACTGCAAGGGTTAGCTGCTTGTTTTTGCCTAGGGTATAAAGAAAAGTTATACTCACCTGAACCTCAGAGCCAGCAGTCCTCCATCTAGCCTCTCCTCCACTGGAGGGATGGTATTTATTTATCTCGGCATGCTCACGTCCTATACAAGTTGTTGATAAACTCCTAGACCGCTGCAGCAGTGGAGAGATGCTCCAGGGACAGGTCTATGAGCCAACTGGCTCCAATGATCGAGTATAACTTTTATACCAACTTAAATTTCGGTATACTTGCACTGCCTGCAATGAAAACTAATCTCAAAGTTTATCTTACGACAACCTTTTTTTCTATTTGGGGATCTTATTGGGGAGATGTTTGTCCAGTAAACAAAGTCAGAGCATATCTTTGCAATGTAACGGGAATCCCCTTCTGGACAGTTTTAAGAGAAACAAGTGTCCCCATTGGAATATTTTTCAACTATTACTGTTCCGGAGGCAACTCAGAAGTTTGGATTTACCCTCACTTTCACTCCTGATGATATTGGTGATCAGGATAATTAGAGAGGGTGAACTTCCGTTAATGGGGACTTGGACCGCAATAAAAACCTGGCACTGGTTCTAACCCATCACCACTCTATCCAAATAAAGAAAAAAAAACAAAACAGTTTTGCCTTTGCCTTTACTTATATAGACCAGGATTACTCATGGTAACCTCTCCGCCTGCCTTGCATTTCAGAGGAAAATTTAGTTTAGAGAAAACAAGTAATATGCAAGGTACCATTCTCACAGGGCATTCTGGGACACCTGGTGCAAGTGTCTACGGAATCTCGGGTGTCCTGTTCGGATTCGGCCACTGTACACATTAAAGTAAATGACCTGGTGCGGCCACATTTGTTAGCGTACGATTTACATGCTGTTTGGAATAAATGATTGTCACTGAGCACAGGATAGATTCATCCAGCAACAGTCCTCTATCCCAAACCGTATGTAGTTTTGTATTTGTCTGGAGTTCAGCTTTACGTCAGGGGTCCCTTACTTTAAGAGGTTGCCATGGTCTTGTTAATCGTTCCTGGTAAACCTAAGCACTGTGTTCTTGACTTTTTTGCAGCGGAAAAGTGGCAAGCTGTGTACACAATCTTGGAGGCTTTCGGCAACAGCAGCACTAACTTGAACGGAAATGCCACTCGCTTTTCACAGATCATTTCACTTGACTTTGACCAGGCTGGACAGGTGTCATCTGCTTCCATACAGGTGAGAGAGGAGATGCTCAAATATATGTCTGGGTGCCTCGGGTTGCCATTGAGAGCTTAAAAGGCCTACAAGTAAAGGTGGAAAATGTGTTTAGCTTTGTAAGCTGGTGTTGTGTGATTTTAGCCTTCAGCATGGAAAGGATTAACATTGGATACTAAGTAGCTTTTCATAAGAGCACAAGACTGAATTAATTTCCTACAAGAAAACAAATTTCACCAGCTTACAACTGCAAGGATGTTGCTGGTTTATCGAGAACTAAATTAACCCCTTTCTACCTGCCCAGATATCCTTTAGGAAGGCCTGGGGCATTGCTTTTGCCAATACCGAATACTGATAACGGAAGTCACATTAAGGAAGCCAGGCGGCGTGTAATGACTCGCCACCTGGCTTCCTGATTAGCTTGGAAGCTGTCTCCATACTTCCTCATCAAGAGGTGACGAGGCAGCCAGCTTTCTGGCCACTCGGGAATCCAGGGGGCGGGTAATGACTCACCTGCCTGGCTTCCTGGTTGGCCAGCTTCTCAACCAATCAGGAAGCCGGGCGGTGAGTCATGAAACGGCGCCTGGCTTCCTGATTGGCTGTGAAGCCAGCTCCATGCTCCCTTGTCACCAGGTGACGAGGAAGCATGAAGCCGGCTTTCTTGCCAGTCAGGAAGCCTGAGGGCGTGTAATGACTTGCTGTCCGGCTTCCTGATTGGCCAGCTTCCATACCAATCAGGAAGCTGGGCAGCAAGTGAGTGTAATGACTCGCTGCCCGGCTTCCTGATACCAGAAGCTCGGGTATCGGGCTAGGCATCGGAGCATTTGGGCGAGTAAGAGTGCTCATCCAAATACTCAGGAATACTAGTATTGGTGCATCCCTACTTTTTTTTTAATGACGGTGGCTTTACAAAGGCAAACATTTGAGCGACGTCTTCCTATTGGGCTGTATGCAATCAGGAGCAATATCGCTCAAAATCGCTCTAAAAAAGGGTCATGTAGAAGCGACAAGCTACCAGCGACGAGCTACAAGCGATATTGAGCGATATTGAGCGACATTGAGCGACGAGATGTGAACAGCTACATTGAAATGTATTGGTGAAGCTACATAGAGCGGAAATATGAGCGATATCGCTGCAAAAATCGCGCGATAAATCGCTCAATGTGAACGGGGCCTAAAAGGAAAAGAAAGTGTAGGCTTTAGGATTTTAAGGTCACAGAAGGACAGCTCATCATAAGCCTTACAAGCAGGGATTGGAGCACAAGGGAGGGGGAAGCATTGTGAAAAATACTCGCCTCCGTGTTCCTATAAGTTCATATTTTCCTCATGATGATCCACGCAGATCCAGTGTGCTTGCTCTGTATGGTCTCTGAGCCACAGAAATCTAATACCTGAAATATTAAGATGCAGAAGTTGGGTCGAGGGTGTCATTCATACTATGTCTTTTAAAGTATCTTTCTACCCAAAAGTTATATTTTAGTCCTTGGTGGATCCTGGCTTCTTGTATGCCTTGGATACTCCTAACCACAAGCTCTGCACATCGTGTGTTCACATCAAAATTTGAATGTTCCAGCATCTTTATATATCAAATAATAATCCAATTTGGGGAACCATCATATTGGCCACAGCAGGCTTGCAGACTTGGGGACTAGTGCAGAGATTTCATCAATAGAGGACCTGAGAGAGATTAGAAATGTCAGATGGTTTATCTCTACAACATCTTTCTAAAAATCAGTCCATTTGGATGACATGCATGCATATTGGGGGTGTAGCTCCACTGTTGCTGGCTTACGGGGTTTGCAAGAAGCAATCTGCCTCACAGTAATCATAGTTGCATAGTTAGTCAGGTTGAAAAAAGACACATGTCCATCGAGTTCAACCTAATTATTTAGCAATCATTGGTTTTATATGGAAGGATCTGCATAACTGATCGTCACTACTAAGGTGCAGATGTATGTGTATCGTTTTAATCTACATGCCATTATTGTGTAATGTTGTAGAACAGACCATACTCAAATCCTGTCTTCTGTTCATTAAAGGAGAACTATGAGGTGAGTGATTTTCACTCAACCTCATAGTTCGAGCCAACGTGTGACAATGAAACTGTCACACGTCGGCACAATACATTGATCATCTCCCTGCAGAGAGCCGTGACTGCCACTCACGGCTCCCTGCAGGGATTCCCCCCCTCCCCGCTCCGATCCTCCAGTGCTGACTGGCGGAACGGACAGGGGAGGGGGCGGGTACAGCTGGCTCTGTCTCTAGATAGGCAGAGCCAGCTGTCAATCGAGCAGCTGGGTGGATCTCGACAGTAATGTCTCCGTGTACCGCGAGCTGTAGCTCGTGATATACTGATCTTTGGGTCACGGGAGGACGCTAGTATGTGTCCTCCCGTGACCCTTAGGAGAACTATGGGGAAAAACACTTGCCCCATAGTTCTCCTTTTAAGATAAAATAGTTGTGTGGTAAGAACTGTAGGAAAACTGGATAATATTGCAAGTTGATGGTCATTAGAGTCATATGCAAAAGTGTCCTGTTGCACTCCTTACCGAATAGAAAGACAATACACCTCTACACCAGGCGGGTGCTTGAAGTGACCACGGATGGCACCGTGTAATATCACAAAGTCCAAAGAATGTCACCAGCACACCATTTCAACATAAAGCATTACAGTTTTAATGACACATGAATGTCATTCAAATCAAAGGTTTTTGGGGCCTCACAGGGTCCTCAAAATGAGCCTGAGGAAGGGGACCCTGTGAGGCCTCGAAAACCTTTTGTATTTGAATACATTCATGTGTTATTAAAACTGTATTGCTTTATGTTGAAATGGTGTGCTGGTGACATTCTTTGGACTTGGTGGTCAATAGAGAGCGCTGCAAGTGGGCTGGACCTACACCCTTGTTGCCTCATGTCAGGGCTTCCCAACACCGTGAGAGGTGGTTCTCTGCTTTATTGGACTTGTGTGCCCTTATTCACCAAAGGAAAAGGCCAGCACTCTAAACTGACATGCAGTTTTTTTTACGGAAACTATTCATATACAGTATGGCAAAGTCCAAATCCCATTCGCACTGCCACGGTCTCAAAACCACAAGGTATATGTGGTGCCCAGGTGACCACACGGATGGCGCCGTGCAAAACACTAATAGTAAATGAAAGTAAATCACTGGCACACACTTGAAGGGTTTTTAAAGTATTGATATGTTTATTCAATACCCAATGTCACATACTGTTATACGGTGCTAACGTTTCGGGTCCGCACCGGGATCCTTCATCAGGGCGACTGATGTCAAGGTGTCCCCTTTTTTCCAGGTTGCTTGTTGGAAGGTGGCTCTGTAAGTTACTGCATCTGCACTGGACTAGAAGTATCTTGTTGTACAGGACTCATAAAGTCACATCTATCAAAGGACACGCATGTTACAAAACTGCTTGAGAAAACAAACACAACATTATTCCCTTTTGTCCTACTTAGAGCAATAACATAATTATAAAAATTATAATATAAAATTATAATATTCCTATATTATATTATGCCCAGAAACCTGCAGTAGCTGGTTGACATAGCTATGACAAAGGAAACCTAAAGCTAGAAATAACAGTTTGTTTACTTGAAAAATAAAATGAGCATTTAGCTTTCTTTGAGACCTGAAGTATGTGCTCTGTCATCTTGATTTGTTTTCATTCTGTCACTCTCTCAATGTGTGTTTTGGGGTTTCAGACAATGCTTTTGGAGAAACTCAGAGTGGCCAGACGTCCGGAAAGTGAAGCTTCCTTCAACATTTTCTACTATCTTTTGGCTGGAGCGGACAGCACTCTCAGGTATATGAATGAAATGATAATGGAGCATGGCTGTCCTGTTTAGTGTTATAAAAAAGATTTATAAGACATATATGTCTTTGTTCAGTTATTTTTTATTTTTTGGGCGCAGGCACTTTATTTTTAACATTAACTTGTACTTATTGAGCGACAACATGTTCTGCAGCGCTGTGCTGTGAGAAGATAACGACGCACAGTCATCAGTGCTCAAGGAACCTTCTTGATGACTGATCTCTTATTGGTTTTCTGTTGACTGCTGCATACATTATTCTTTACACTGTTGTTAAATAAGAAGATATGTGTGTTCCCAAATAATATTAAGATGAGGTCAATTCTGCTAAAACGGAAGGTAGGAAATGGGGCTCAGTAGGAGTTTAGGTGCCATCTTTCAGTGCTAATGTTGAAACTGGAATTCCGGGCAAGTTTAACCAGAGCAAAACGGTGTACAATATACCTGTTATTGCAAACATTTGGGACTTTGGCTGGCCTCCTTCTGAAAATGTTAGATGCTTGGCTGTGTCTGGCTTCTATGCACCTACATTAAAGATCTGGAACAGGAATGTAATTAATTAAGTGAGAAATCAGTTTTTTGTTTTTAACGCTTTACTTTGTCTGGCTCATTGACTCAAAGTACTGTTGCCACTGGATCAGTATGGTAACATTTTCAAAAGAAATTCAATATAGATTGTTTTTCCTTGCATAATATTGTATTGGGGCCCCAAATAATTTAAAAGTATATTTTATGACAATTTCTCATCAACATTTAAAGGAGAACTATGAGGCGAGTGGTTTACACGTCGGCTCTTTAGATCGGGAAGTGAGCGAACACATACCGTTGCTCGCTCTGTTCCCAATCATCTCCCTGCAGAGAGTGGTGACTGTCAGTCACCGCAGGGATTTTCCCCCTCCCCTCTCCGATCCTCCAGCACTAACTGGAGGAACGGACAGGGGAAGAGGCGGACACAGCTGTCTCTGCCTCTAGATAGGCAGAGGCCGCTGTCAATCAGCCAGCTGGGTGGATCTTGACAGTATTGTCGGGATCCGTCCCGGCTGCGGCACTCTCAGCATATAGCGGGCAATAGCCCCCTTTATACTGAGCTTTTGGTCACCGGAGGAGGTTAGTATATATCCTCCTGTGACCCTAAAGAGAACTATGGGATAAAAAGGTTACCCCATAGTTCTCTTTTAATGTAATACATTATTGTTCCAGATGGCTTTTTTATATAGCTCCATTGTAATTTTGTAAATAATCTCTGTTATTTTTAAAATGTTTTACAGACTGTACACACTTCTCACACTTTGTAAGATTCTTCTAAGCACCAATGCATCTGGGCAACAGAGGAGTTTAAACAGCTACCATACACACCATCTTGTGATAATGTCATCTTCTTATATATATAATAAACATATGATGAAGAACATTTCACTTATACATTTGAGGAGGAAAGAGACCACTATTCTTGAGGGAGGGCCAGAGCTGTCGTCCTCCCTTTTAGCATACCTAATGGTACTTGCTGAGTATTCTTCCTATGATACTAAAGGCCAAGATTATGGTGATGCTGTTTTTGTAGCATGTTTAGCATGCTATTTATAGGATATCATTAGACACCAGGTTATTTGAACTATCATCTGGGAAACATGGGAATTTCAAAGCCTGTGCCTAGGGCCATGAGGTGAGAATGCAGCATTTACAATTTAATTTACTTTTTTCTGGCTATCTTTGATTACTTGTTGGAAAATACAGCACCAGAGGTAAAGAAAAGAGGAGTTTGGCTATTTAGAGGAGTCGGAAGGCTTTTCTTTTTAGCTCCAGTAACATACTCTAGCCTGTCAAAGGGTAGGGGCAGTTTGAAAGTGGACATGATGATTTATATGCTTAGAATAGCACAAAACCCTAAAAAGGACTCTTGTATTTCAAGGTCGTCAGTACATTGTTCCTAGTGGTTGGAATGTGTTGAATGCTACTAAACTGAATTTTTTTATTTTTTTTACAGGACAGAGCTTCATCTCAACCACATGGCAGAAAACAATGTGTTTGGTATTGCACTTACTTCCAAGGTAGGTAGTGTCCAGCTCATACACATATTTACCATTGTGAATCATTTAATGTGGGTTGCAATGCAACAACAGGTCACTGAACACCCTCAAAGCGAACTAAACTCAAGCTAATTCTTAAAAATGCATTCAAGTACCTTAACCATTAACAAAAATGTAGCCTTTTTGTATATCACTTAGCTGTAGATCCTCAAATCATCTCTGAATTCATGCCGACACTCTCATTCCTTCTGAAGGGTGGCTATGGTCCCCGATTGTGTTGTAAAGTAGCCACCACTACAAGCTTGCTCCTGGGATGGACTTTAACTTCAATACAAATAGTAAACTAAATGTGATATTGTGTTTCATCACGGGCGTGAGCTTGGGGTGGTGGCAATTTACAACACACACAAGGACCATGGGGAACAAAATTAAAGGAGAACTATGAGGTGAGTGCTTTTCACTCACCTCATAGTTCTAGCCGACCTGTGACAATGAGACTGTCACAGGTCGGCTCAGTAGATCGGGAAGTGAGCGAACACATACCGGCGTAACAGCTGCGGCGTCTCAGTATACCGCGAGCTGTAGCTACAGCTCACGGTATGCCGAGCTTAAGGTGACGGGCGGATGCTAGTTTGTGTCCTCCCGTTACCCTAAGGAGAACTATGGGGAAAAGCCCTAACCCCATAGTTCTCCTTTAACCACCCTCCCGAAGGAAGGACAGTGTCAGCACCAATTCAGAGATAATTTGAGGATCTACAGCTGAGTGATACACAAATAAGTTACATTTTTGTTAATATTTAAGGTACCTAAATGCATTTTTAAGATTTAACTCCTGAGCTTAGTGTCACTTTAGGGTGACAGTCAGCACACCCATTAAGATCTATGTTTAACGTACTCCAAATGGATCCGACGGGACTTTAAAGGCTTCAAGAAATTTGCTTGAAGCTTGCAGAAAGCTTCACAAATACTTTGCAGAGCTTTTGGTGCACACTGCTCTTATACAACCTAAAGTCTGTGCGAACTAGGCCTTAGTCTAGTTAGCTGTTGATCTCTATGGGATATGAAGTTAAAGTGACATTAAAGTCAAAGATCTTTTTCCCTTCCCTCATTGTAAATTAAAGCACTTACCTTAAATGATGTTTCTTAATCCGATCTTCTTTCCTGTCGGTTTTTCATCTGTCCCTCCAGCGCTGCTGCGGGTCTCTGATCCAGCGCTGACTCCTCTGTCATTGCTGACACTTCCTGTCCCACGGTGTCTGCATGCGGGTGCACGTGTCCATAGACTTACCTTGTGTCTCTCCTTGTCTCCCGGCGGAAAATGTGAACTGCGCATGCGCCCGTCCCACATTTTCGAGACGGGAGCACGCGGGGAAGACACAGGTAAGTTTAAAGCGTGGGTTTTTTTTAAACACTTTTGCATATATCTACTAGATAGATATATGCAAAAACACCGGAGGGTTTAATAACCCTTTATCGGGGACATCTTGACACACACTGATTGGTGAATGAGCATGCTTGGAATAATTGCAATGGCATAGGCTACTTGCTTGAGTTTTTACACAGCAAAGGCTCACATGCATTAGTGCAGGCATCTATAAGGTAGTGTTATTGTTTTTATTGTAGAGCTGCAGCTAACGATTATTTTCAAAATCGATTAGTTAGCCGATTATTAAGTTCGATTAATCGGTTAATCGGATAAACTATAAAATAAAGTTTAAAAAATGGGTCCAATGATGGACTACTAGTTTGTATTGAGGTTGTAGTCCATCACAGGAGCAAGCTTGGACCGGTGGAAGTAAAAAAGAAAAAAAAAGATAGTGTGGTGTGCAATATAGTGAAATGGAAAGTGTAAAATTATACAGCAATGCATGCAGAATGGCAACGGCTATAGAGGACTACAAAACCCAGCAAAAGCACATTAAACAGCACAATGCAGAATACCGCCAGTTATAGAGGAATACAACAAATCTCAGGAATAGTACATAATAGCTGGCGGCATTCTGCATTGCGCTGTATAATGTACTATTGCTGGGTTTTGTAGTCCTCTATAGCTGGTGGTATTCTGCATTGCGCTGTATAATGTATTATTGCTAGTCCTCTATAAAGCGCAATGCAGAATATCACCAGCTATAGAGGAGTACAACAAATCCCAGCAATACATTATACATACAGTGTATAATGTATTGCTGGGATTTGTATTCCTATGTATAATATACAGCACAATGTACCATCAGCTATAGAGAAATACAAATCCCAGCAATACATTATAGAGCACCATGTGTGGGAAAGTGCAGTCTTCCAGCAACGTGCTTCTGAGATCGGACCTGTCTATCAGCAGCTGTCATCCCCCCACACCTGCTCCTTACTACATCTCCCCGCGTCCCTGTGCCGATCGTGGATGGGCAGGAAATGTGAGGCGGGGAGGAGGTGCGGCATGTGGAGCGTGCATGCGAGCGGGTCTGGCAGCGGCGAGCGTGAGGTGGGGAGGAGGTGCGGCGCACAGCGTGTGGAGCCGTGAACAGGGCCAACTGATTGGAAGCCGATTAATCGATTATTGAAAAAGTTGACAACTTTATCAATAATCGATTATAATCGATTATGTTGATTAGTTGTTGCAGCCCTATTTTATTGTGTTCCTTACATTATTACTATTCTTTCCATGCCTGTAATTTTTGTATCTCTACTTGTATATTTCTAAGATTTTGGCTTTAAATTAGTTTTTAATAACTAAAAATGAATATCCTCAATAAATACTGCCCATTTTGTCTCAAGGCTGAAGACAAGCAGAAGTCGGCACAGCTGTTCAGCAAACTGCAGGCTGCTATGAAGATCCTAGGAATCTCTGGCGATGAGCAAAAGGCCTTCTGGTTAATCCTTGGAGCTATTTACCACCTAGGGGCAGCTGGAGCCACCAAAGGTACATGATGATCGTCCCTGCAGAGCAAAGACTAAGCACTGAAATCATTCTTGTAACATTAGATTCATGTTTAGTGTAGTTTATGTTCTTCTATAGAACTGTCAGGACTTGACATGTGTTAAAATTTGAATCTCTGCTGTTAAATACTTAGAAAAGCACAGTCGTAACTCTTGGAGATAGCCGTGTGCTGTCTTTCATTTGTTCTCTTTTCCTGGAGCAGAAATGTCAGCCTAGTCAGTGTTAGGCAATGGTGGCTGGCTAGTCTCCTGCCTGATACTGCTGAAGAAGAGTAAAACTGTCTGGTAACAAAGATTAGAATGTTCTTTTATGTAATTCTGACAGCTTCTTTATTATATGACACTTGTGTTATCAGCACTGAGCTCAGGCAAAAGAAAAGACAGCTTTATTGCCTGACACTCAGCTGGTTACTTCTTCTGTAGTCTCCAAGAGGTATGGCTGCAATGATTGTAATTAACCATCGGTGACCAGTTTTGTTTGTTGTTCTTCTGTGACCGCATATCAAAGAGATTTAAAGACACCTATTTTTGATCTTGCCTTCCCTGCAGTCTCAGATGTAGATGCTCTGGGTAATTCAGTTTGGTTTTTGATGAGCTTTGTTTTATCTTTGTGTGCATTTCTTTCTTTCTTTCAGCCAGAGATTCCACTTTGTAGCGTTTCACTCACTGCTCTGCATAGCATGGAGCATGTCTGATTCCCATCATTCACTGGGCCCAGACACTGAGTATGGCTTTCCAACCACTGAGCTGAATCAATGAACCATATTTCTCTGCAGACTAAATTCCAACTCTTAACCGATAGTTGTGAAATCCTGTACAAAGATGCTGTAGCCCATGACAGCCTGTTTTCATTGCCTGAACTATATTGGCATCAAAGCTAGAATTAGTATTATGCACGGCAGGCAAGTTCTTTGAGCTCATGAGTCCTGAGGCAGTTTCTTGCTGTTAAGTATTGTCAAGCATACAGCCAGGACTTAAAACTGTGTCCACCAATAGAACACTGTCATCTCCTTTGTTGATTCTTTGACATAGTCTGGCAAGGTGGGCTTTAACAGTACCTCGGCATGAATACCCATCAGACAATGTTATAGTTAAGTGACATTAACTCAGGAGTTAAATCTTAAAATGTATATCTGTAGATCATCAAATCATCTCTGAATTGGTGCTGACACTGTCCTTTTGGAGCGTGCCTACTTTTGTCCCGCATGGTCCATGTGTGTGTTGTAAAGTAGCCACCGCTCCAATTGATGGACTACGACCTCATGTTTAGTTAGCGAATGTGTATTGAGATTGTAGTTCATCACAGCAGTGAGCGTTGACTACTTTACAACATATACAGAGACCACGGGGGAACAAAAATAGCCACCCTCCTGAAGGAAGGACAGTATCCGCACCAATTCAGATATGATTTGAGGATCTACAACTGAGTAATAGGGTGGTGTGGGTTTTTAGACCACTAGAGGGCAGACTGAGCCAGAATTTGTACATTCAGAAGCTACATTGTACTCTGTTGTACAAATGTAGTCACGCTCTATTTATGATGTGTGACAACACATGAAGGAAGCGTAAATCGAAAACTTCTGTTAATAATCTGATCAACTTGATAATGATTCTCTATTGCTAAAGATAGAAAAACTTTCAGTGTGACTTATTTGTAAATCTGCAAATTGCTTTGTGCATAGCAGAGGTTTCCTTTTTTTATTCCAAGCCCAATGTGTGAGTGCGCTAAGTATTCTACGTAAAGTAATTACTGAATTCAGAACTAATACAGTTCTCATTTCTGGTAAAATACTGGTATGCCAGGTTTCACAATATGTCATGTCTTCTAGTTTGCATGTTCTGTAGTTAAATGTCCCACGAAAATGTGTAAGCAATTAAGGGTCATTCTGGTTTTACAAACCGAAAGGGTCCGATCCTTCACTGTTCATACATCTAGAGCAGGGGGAACCAAACGCCGGCACTCCACCTGCAGTGAAACTACAAGCCCCTTTAAGCATTGCAAGACTCTGACAGCCACAGGAATGACATCCAGTGGCAGATCCATGATGGGGGTCTGTCATTTCACCACAACTGGAGGGTGGAAGTTTGGCTACCTCTGCTCTGTGTGTTATCTGCTTTACTTTGTGAATTCCTCAATATGTTTTCCTTCGTAGTAGTTTCTGATTGCATGTGTTTATTCACTCCATTTTGCTGACAACATGACCTTGCATGGTTTTATAACACTTACTTGCCTGATTGAAATAAAAGACAGGCTTTTTCCCATTTGCATTCCCATTGCACAGAACTGATAACATTAAGTGTCACAAGGTCTTAATTAAGATATTGATAATTAGGGCTGCAGCTAACGATTATTTTCATAATCGATTAGTTGGCCGATTATTAAGTTCGATTAATCGGTTAATCGGATAAAAAAGAAAAAAAAAGGCTCCAGAATAATAAATGTCTTGTTTGAGACATAACTGCATGAGTTACCTTCCATCCCTGTGTGTGTAATGTGCTGATCAGAGGTACTGCCGTTATCCTTAAAATCTCCAGAAATACCCCACTCCCAGAATTCCTTTATAAAAACCTGGAAATTTGACCCCCCAAATCTTTAACACTCCCCCACCTGAACTGCTCAGCTGTGCTATGTTTTTCATTTTCAGTGAGGTGCACATTTTGAGATATGAAACTGCTTAGCTAAAAGTGATTTTCTATTGGCTATTTTTACATACATGCAATTCCATATTTTAATTATGTACTAAAGATAATCAAATATTCTTACCCCAATTGCTCTATGTGTAGTCCACATTTCTAAGCAACAACTGCTGAAATAAAATGTGTTAGATGCAGAGATGGTGTTTTCAGTAAGTCTGAGTGCACTGATAGCATAACCACTGTCCATCACAACTAGACGGGATACATAGCATGCATATGTAATAAGAATACATGGCTGCTCCCTAGTACATATATATTTTAATTATGGTTGCACAGATACCAAGTACAGTACTCGGTACGAGTACATGTACAGATACTTTTCCAGCTCCAAGACTAGACATTGGTAAAAAGTTGGGAGGCAGCTGTCATTTGGAAGGAGCACACGGAGCTCCTGGGATTTGTACATCTCTGTTTTAATGTACGAGTACTGGTACTTGCCGAGTACTTACAAGTACGAGTACTGATACATTTTTGTTTATTGTCATGTGACAGTTTTTCTAAAACAATATCGACTAATGATTTCAGGACAGTGGTGGAGCGCCAGAGCCAGGTCCCAGCTGCAAGCGCTGCAACCCTGGTAGTTCTCATGAAAATGCCAAGTATCTGCACTGGTACTCGAAAAGTATCTGTGCATCCCTAATTCTAATGATGTATGTTTTTTTAAAGCATCATTACA